TATGGCTTCAGAAGTAACACAGAATAATTCGCACAATCGGAAAAAAAAAAATTCTCGGATTTGGATCGGCCCTCTCTGACCGATACCCGATCCGAGAAAAATGGCACTATCGGAGCCGATACCCGATATGAATATCGGATCGGCGCATCCCTATTTGCGACTGACGGCTGTGATTATAAACTTTCCCTCCGAGCACACTGACCCACCTTAACAGCATAATAATGCACTCCATATGTGGGTAACGACTCCACTATACTCATATAACTGTGAGAGAAGAAAGAAGAAATAATTGACAGTATGTTATGGATGTTACATATGCAGACAATTTACAATAGCAGTGAACAAATGGGAGTGGATCTCGGAAGTAGGATGCATGCAAAGGATTATCAGCACTAAAAGTGCAAAAACAAGTATTTGGATACTTTAGGCACACTTAGAATTTCACACTTTTCAAGCAAAATGTTTCCCTAAAAGACGTTTTAGTATAATACAAGCATAAAAGAAAACATATTGTGTTCAAAATTAAAAGTATAGTTCACTCAAAACTAAAAAAATTGCTTGCTTTCTTCTGTGGAACACAAAAAATAACACTAATAAAAGTCAATGGAGTCAAAAGCATCAAATCTCATTGGTTCTTGCATGCCATGTGACCATATGTGATGTTGTTTAAGGTTTGTGTTGCCATTGACACCACTGATTCATAATATGGACAAAAAACAGCAAAAATATCTGATATTTTCTTTTGCGTTCTGCAGAAGTTGTTTTTGGAATGACATGAGGGTGACCAAATTATGACAAGTTTCATTTTTGGGTGAAGATAAAATGCATTTGGACACTTTTTGTTCATCAAACTTAAAGGAACATTTTGGTCAAGACAATATTCTTTCTTACTTGACGATAGCCTGGCCTCTGGACTGTCCACTTAGCTGCTTATAGTGCTCAATGACCCGGTCCTCACTGCAACACAACACACACAGACACACAGATTAGCGGCAACAGACGACAATGTTCATGAGAACGTGGCTGTCAGCCTATTTCAATTCTGCAGGAACAAAAAACAGACAAGAGTGAAAGCTTACAGATGTACAGAGACGCAGCCAATGAAATACAACACCATGAAGGAGATAAGTTCATACTTAGAACAGGAAGTACACCGGCCTGCTCAATATGAGTGTGTGAGTGAGAGTGTCTTAGAATGGCAGCATCTGTGAAACACTTCATTCGCATCGAATAGAATTCAGGGAAAATTAGGTTAGAGAATTATTCTGGGGAATCCTTTCCCATGGTGCTCTGAGAACACAGAGCAGATACATCTCATTAATACCTCTCTATTATCAGCTGACAGCTGTGTGTATAAGTGTGTGTCTCACCAGTATGCGAGTGAAGGGTGCTCCTTCAGTGCTTGTGTAGGCAGTGCTGGCAGTTTCTTCAGATCAGCCCTAGTAGCATCATTACTGTAAAAATAACACAAAATACTCAGTAATCAAAGCACCTAACAGAGCGGGGGAAAAAATCAGTCAATCAGAATCACAGAACAGAGACAGAAGACACAGAAAGGCAAATTAATTAAAATAAAATATTTTAATTATTATTATTATTGTAATAATTGCAATTGTAATAATAATTGTGCAAATGATAATAATTTTCACATTCTTGAAAATAAAAATTATTTTGCATTTGCAAACAATTTATGTAAAGATGGCAATCTGATCAACTAATAAATCAAGATGGAAATGTTAAAATCACAACTGATATTGCTTCCAGTTCACTCATGAAATGAAAGAACAGTACATTGCATTGTGGGATATATTATCCCTCACAATGTGCTCAGGTTGTATAATGCACATTTTGGCAAAGTCAGTGACTATCAGGGCATTCCACATACACAAAATGTTCACACTATATATAAAATGCATATTGCAAAAATTACGGCAGTATGGTAGTGTTCCATTCCAAACACAGAGCGATGGAGAGGTTAAGAGGAAGTGTAAGAGGTAGAGGAAATTGAGTCGAAGAAAACAGAGTGACAGAATAAAGCTGGAAGGATGCACATGTGACAGATTTGTAGCTGAGATACTGTGTGTAGAAAGTGTTTGTGTAAGTGTGTGTGTGTGAGATGGAGAGAGCCAGGGGTTAGTATGTGTAATTTAACACTGTTTATCCTCTGCATTCCATTTCCTCCCCTCTGTCTCCGTTCCCAGGGTTCACACCCCCACATCTCTCTCTTTCTCTCTCTCTCCATCTCTCTTGAATCGTGTGCATGTGCTTATGTGGCAAGGAGAGTTTGATATACACCACAAATTGGATCTGCTTTCACTCTGCAGCGACACACTGATAGAGACTTTGATAGTGTGTGAGTGTAAAAGAGGTCACTGGAAGGTGATTCGTTCATTCAAACAGCCTCTTACCTCGTGAAGTCTCCTTTAGCTTCCTGTGGGAGAAAAAAAAGACATATTTTAGTATCAATAATGAGTGTTTGATGGTAGACCAGACCGCTTGGAAAGATCGTATCCTCTGATACACAGAACGGTGCATGTGTGTCTCAGTAGGGGATGTAGTCGCAGCCATCTGGACTGAATCCTCCAAAAGGTCAAACACACATAACATACCTGATACTACACCTGGATCACACATACACAGAGTCATAAAGGAAAACCATATTTCTCCAAAGTATTTCCCTCGTATGGATAACTTACAGTACAAAGGAAACATCCTGTTTTAGATTTAAAATAAAGCACTCTGTCAGGCTGAAATACTGTAGTGACCTGAATATGACTCTATAACGCTTACACAAGTGTATTTGAGATGTATGAACTTTATGAAAGTTCATTGCACGGTTTATGAAGGTCCACAAAATGATAAACAGTCCGACATGATCTTACCTGTAAGATATAAGAGGCCAGTTCAAACACCACCTCACTGTCCACCTCTATGAGCTCCTGAAGACAGACAGGAAGAAAGAGACCCTTAAGTTCAGGATCACAGCAGACAGGACATCTCCATTAATCTGTCTCTTATCTTATCTCTCTCTCTTTTAATGACCTGATCTGCTGACTTATCACTGAAGGGTCTATCTAAATCACTTCAGCTATTTCCTGTGTAATCAATAGCAGGACAAAGCCACATACACACACATGGGTTTTATGTGAGGGGGTTTTTGAAGTGTAGGGGGTCTTAATTACTTCAATGACCAAGTCAAACGGAGCGATTCATTACCTTTGATGAACACAAGAATTTCAGGAATGTCACACACAGAGTACTGGCATGTATTAGAAAGCTGACTCTAGAGTAAAGTGTGAGCAATGAGCTCATGGTGGGAATCTGTGGTATGTGACCAGTGACACACACACGCATTCACAAATACAGAATGTTTTTGGAAGAATGAAGCACTTCAAAAAAAAAAAAACAGCTATTGCAAATATAGCTGTACAGTATTATATTTATTATATATAAACACTACCATTCAAAAGTTTGTGGTTCAAAAGACTGCATTTATTTAATAAAAAATACAATGATACTGTGAAGTGTTATTTTAATTTAAAATAACAGGTTTCTATTTAAATATTTTTTTTAAACGCAATTTATTCCTGTGATGCAAAGCTGAATTTTTAGCAGCCATTACTCCAGTCCTTCTGAAATCATTCTAATAAGTTGCTGCTCAAGAAACATTTCTTATTACTATCAATATTGAAAACTGTTGTGCTGCTTATATTTTTGTGGAAACCATTTTTTTAAAGAAGGTTCAGCATTTATTTGAAATTGAAATCTTTTGTAACAATGTTTAAGTCTTTATGGTTTACTTCTGATCAGTTCAAGTCATTATTGGTGAATAAAAGATTTTTTAATACCTTAATGACCCCAAACTTTTGAATAACTAGTGAAGAGTGAAGAGCTTGGTACTTTGCACATTCTTACAGTACCATAAGTCAATCAGCGTTGCCATGATGTAATTTGTCAGAGAAATCTGTAACGTGGTATTTATGCCTAAGGTGCTCCATGGACATAGATGGAAGTAACAAATGGATGTAAAGGGGCATTAGTTAATATTGCCCTCTAGTGATAGAACAGTGACAACAGTTTACCTTATAGATGCAGGACTTTGCATTGAGGAAGAACAGCTCTATTGTGGCATTGTCCTTAAGGTAAGAGATACTTTCTATGTAGAACCTGTAGAAGAGAAAATAATATGCACATCAAAATATGGCTAAAGTTTTAAAAACATTACAGTTACATATACAGTATACACAATTCACATATTACGACTGCCAAACATGATTTGTTTAGTTGTGAACATGTGATTCAAAATTGTTCAGTATGAGCAACCAATTCTGATTCCTCCTTAGCAGGTTCATTCAGATTGTTTGAATGAACTCACTGAAAGAAACAATGTATTATATACACAGACCCAAAGACCAATCACTAGAGGGCATCATAAACACTGCTATAGCCTCTTGCTGTCTCCATCCCTCTCGAAACCCACAAAAAGAAAACAATTTCCACTGTGCAAGCTTCATTTAGCAGTCAGATTAGAGTTAGCGGGAACTACAACAAACACGAAAATAAGCAATTGTCTCAAAATCAGCATAAATAAATAAGCTCTCTCAGCATGACATTTTTCATTTCAGCTGAAGGCTGAAGCTGTGACATTCACACATGGACTGTTACACAGACATACACATGCATAGAAATACGTACAGATGCAAACTGATAATATGACCTTGAACATACACTGAGGCATACACTGAACTTAAAATGAACCCTATGACACACGATACATGAAGACACATGCTTTGAATCCATGGCTGACTGTTTAAAGGAGCGAGAGGAATGAGAGAGACAGAAAACGAGTGAAAGTGAGAGATTAAAGTGATTAAAACTGTATTGACAGCTGGTTTAATTTGAGATGTGAGTGAGACAGTCTTACATGCATCAAAGACTTTAGCTCACTCCAATCAATAGCCCAATCATGAGCAGAAAGGACAACACACACACACACACTGATTCACACAGGACATCATGCATGCATTAAAACTGGGCCTCCGCTCCAATTTAAACTGCACTGACACGCAATAGCTCAAGCAAAAGACATACAACTCCGCACGCAGCTATTAGAGCAAAATGCATGTGTGCGTATGCGTGCATTTAAGTGTTTGTGTCTGTACATGACCCAGAAAAGCAAAGTGATGCAAGAGGAATAGACTGAACGAGAGAAAAGCAATTCAAGTGTGTCCCAACAAATGGGTGAAATGCTGGGCTATTTTAATGCTGAGCTTGACAGCAATAAACCAGCATCCACCCACAGCGAGCGTGGTGATGTATGACGGTGTGCTGATTGCGACTTAGCAGTAAAATACTGCGAGGAATAGAGCTGCACGATTAATCGTTAAAAGATCACGATCTCGATTCAGACACCCACGCGATCTCATTTCTAAATGACAACGATTCCCCGAGTCTATTAAACCTTTGACAAAGTCTTACATTCAAATCGGTGTTCGCACTGCCGCTGACACAGAAAGAGCAGTTACTTACCATGTTTGGTTAAGAAACATCTTCACAAACTGTCTTTTCAACTACACAGTATTATTTCTGTCTTACAGTCATTCATATTATCACAGAAATACTGGGGTGAAAGTTTATAGTTCAGATATAAACATTGATATCTATGGCAGCGATCAAAATAGAGCAAATCACCTTTTGAAAGTAACTACGCTTCAAATAACGTTTGTGTCACTAGGTGGCGAAAAGCGACTTAAATGTATTTGTCATTGAGTGAATTATTAATTCAAGAGAATAGTTCAAAAACGCTGATTCATCCAGTAATGAAACAAGTGAAGTAAGTTTATGAGTGAGTCGTTGAATCATTGATTCAAACAACTTTTTCATAATTTCAATATTAAAAATTGGTGTATTAAATATATTATATATACACTACCAGTCAAAAGTTTTTGAACCGTAAGATTTTTAATGTTTTTTTAAAGAAGGCTCTTCTGCTCACCAAGCCTGCATTTATTTGATCCAAAGTACAGCAAAAACAGTACAATTTTGAAATATTTTTACAATTTAAAATAACTGCTTTCTATTTTAATATATTTTAAAATGTAATTTATTCCTGTGATTTCAAAGCTAAATTTTCAGCATCATTACTCCAGTCTTTAGTGTCACATGATCCTTCAGAAATCACTCTGATATGTTGATTTGCTGTAAAAAAAAAAACATTTATTAATATTGTTGAAAACAGTTGAGGAGATTTTTTTCAGGTTTCTTTGATAGAAAGTTCAGAAGAACAGCATTTATCTGAAATGGAAATCTTTTGTAATATTATAAGTCTTTAGCATCAGTTTTGATCAATTTAAAGCATCCTTGCTAAATAAAAGTATTACATTTCTATAATTTCTCTTTGATCACAGAAATAAATTAAATTTTAAAATATATTCAAACAGATAGCAGTTATTTTAAATAGTAAAAATATTTCACAATATTACTGCTTTTGCTGTACTTTGGATCAAATAAATGCAGGCTTCAGAATCGTGGGAGAATCGTGATCTCTATTTGAGACAAAAAAAAATCGTGATTCTCAATTTATCCAGAATCGTGCAGCTCTAGCGAGGAAGCACACAAATGTGCCCGCTTTAACTCTCTCGCACACACGGAGACATACAAACACACAAGAACAATAAATATACTGGCTGCTTTTTGTATTGGTCATATTTCGAAGCAGATCCAATTAAAATCTAAATGAATCAACCCGCCCAGCAGATATCTGCTCATGCTCTGCAATTCAAACACAGTCTGATTAACACTCTGCTGTTGCCATGGTGCTCAAATTGCTGGGGGTGTTAATGACAGGAATGGTGGATTCTGATTGGACGTGTTTCTGGTAACTGCCCCCGCTGACCCCGCTAATTTGAAACAATAAACAAACACATACACAAGCCCCCCAACACGGAAACACTCTGATCGAAGTGTTGATGCCAATTCATTCTGGAGGTGTTAAGTGTTTTCTTTTTTAATATTCAGCTGGGATTTCTTGAAGTAATATGGACGTTTCTCTTTTATTCTCTCTGTCGATAAACATATATTATTATTATATATTACTGTATTAGTAATAAATAAAATAATTTATTTATAAATTTATAAATATATATGTAATATATAACTATTTTATATGTGTAGTTTATTATATATTTATATTACTCATGTTATTAATAATAAATAAAATAATAAATATGTATGTGTATACATATAAACGTTTATTGTGGTTTTGTTGTGCTTTTGCTGCAGCTGTACTTACCTAACGCAGAAGTAAAGCACAATGGGTCCAGATTTCTTAGGAAACTCGTGTTCCAGAACACGACGATCTAACTGCAACCAGCTGAAATGACCCCTGAAACACAGCCCAAGAGAAATGACTGATAGCATCTGTAACAGCAACCGGAAATGTCTTGCAACATCTTACAATGTCTCATTCATAGTGCCACATAACGTCATAAAACATCATGCGAAAAATGAGCCACAAGAGGGCTGTTTTATGTTCAAGATGTCATCGCATGTGCATTTTCATGCATAATTTAGCCAGTGATGGCAAAAACAAAAGCACTCAGGAAACCATTGCATTGGTATTCCGTTGCACAGAGATATATAACCTTTAACAGGTAATTATAAATCCAAAGGTAGATTCTACTCAGCAGTGTGGGGGGTTCCATTTTTTTCCATTTAAATTTTTCTGGACTCCTTTTTAATGGTTAAATTAAATTTAATTAATCAAAAAACATGTTAATCCCTAATTAATTAAAATCATGAAACAATTTAACATCAATTTATCAAAAGTTTAACAAAAATTACATGTTTAGGGCCCTATGAAATGTTTTATTCTGTGTTTTAACATGTCTAATTATTTGAAAGCATAAAAATGTTTCATTTATTCTTACACTAGACTAATGATTTTTTTCCTCAGAAAGTCTGTGTTGTGTATTTACATTTTTTTAAGGCATAAAACAGTTATTTAATTTATCTTTTAATTAATGAAAATTAAACAAATTGTATTAAATTTTTTTTATTATTCCTTAAAAATAAAGTTTTAATAATTTTAGTAGTAGTAGTAGTAGCAGCCTATTACGTACATTCTACTGAACAATAGTAATATATTTCTGCCGCAATGCCTTCAAGTTAAACCAAACTTTTATTTTGACGGGTTGCCGTGAATACCTTTACATTCCTGTGTGTATATGATATGAGGATAGTTTTACTCAAATGAAACAGTCAAATGCTCATGAAGTGACTCTCAGAGAAGTTCTGGAGATGTTGTTCATGTATTTATGTCCTCATTAGCAGTGGCGGAGCCAGGATGTTTTTATAGGGGTGGCCAGGGAGGGGCCAGCAACCAGTCTGGGGTGGCACAGAAATCTTCATTATTTCAATATAAAAATGTGTTTGACTATACAGTACTGGACTGTTTTAGTGTCTAAAACACAACTGAATACAATTAATTTCTACTAAATTGTATTTGAGATATTTGTGAATTAGATCAAGTAATGCTGAGTGAAGGACGGAAGTCAACAGCACATAAATGCCAGAATGTAAAATGAGTTATTTTATGCATTTAAATGGTTTCATTTTCGTTTGTACTTTACAAAATAAAAAATTAAAATAGCGCATATTTTCTAGTATAAGTGCACTGTGTTCATATTTACTTGTGCATTAAATTACAAAAAAAAAAAAACACAGCTTGCGCCTTATTGTGTAGGCCTATATTGTCTTATATTGTTATCTCGAATTGCGCAATATTTTAGTAGGCTACATGCATTTGAGAGACGTTCTTTAATGTGATGCTATACATAAATGAATGCACTAATCGCCTTTTTGGTAATTTCATGACTTAACTGATGACAGAACTACATTGTATGCTCATAGTTTCTTGTTAGCTTTATTTATGATGAAGCGATAAAGAGCGTGCGCCTTATATTCGTGTAAAGTTGAAGAGTGTGCCCCGTGAGCACGGTAAAACAGCTGTCAGGAGATGAAAAGATTTTTTTAATTAACATATCTAATTAATTAAAATCATGAAACTTAAACAATTTAACATCAATTTATCAAAAGTTTAACAAAAATTACATGTTTAGGGCCCTATGAAATGTTTTATTCTGTGTTTTAACATGTCTAATTATTTGAAAGCATAAAAATGTTTCATTTATTCTTACACTAGACTAATGATTTTTTTCCTCAGAAAGTCTGTGTTGTGTATTTACATTTTTTTAAGGCATAAAACAGTTATTTAATTTATCTTTTAATTAATGAAAATTAAACAAATTGTATTAAATTTTTTTTATTATTCCTTAAAAATAAAGTTTTAATAATTTTAGTAGTAGTAGTAGTAGCAGCCTATTACGTACATTCTACTGAACAATAGTAATATATTTCTGCCGCAATAGACGTTCTTTAATGTGATGCTATACATAAATGAATGCACTAATCGCCTTTTTGGTAATTTCATGACTTAACTGATGACAGAACTACATTGTATGCTCATAGTTTTTTGCACGCATTATTTATGATGAAGCGATATAGCGCCTTATATTCGCGTAAAGTTGAAGAGTGCACCGTGAGCATGGTAAAACAGCTGTCAGGAGAGGAAAGTTTGTTTTACTGATATAGCCTACAACATCTCATCAGACTCGCAGTTCACTGTTGTTCTACTGAAGCTCATTTGGCACATGTTCCTTAATTTCCGCGCTCGTTTGACTTGTGCCTGGTGCTGAGGCGAAGTGTAAGTGCGCGTCTGAAAAGTCTCCCGTTTGATGTGGTCATAAAGAGATACGGCGGTTCCACGTCTTAATAAATGCATTTCTTGTCAAAAAAAGGGACAAAAACTGCAGTTTTGAGTGGGGTGGCCAAGCTTAGGTCAGTGGTGGCCACGGCCACCCCCTGGGTACAGGGGATGTGTTCAACTTTGTGAATGACAAACATCTCAGTTCTACGGCAATCGGCAGAGCTTTCATCTGAGTTCTGTAGGAGCAGATTCCCAAGTGGGAATTCTCTATAGGAAAACATGTAAAACTCACTTCTCAGTTCTCACCATCACTGCAATCTTTGATTTTCAGTCAGAAGAACCAGAATAACACAATGGTTTAGTTTTTTTCCTAAAAGCAACCAGGATCCATTTTGAAAACAATGCTGATCCTGGAAAGGTCTGCCTGTACCATGTGCTTATCCAGTATCTAAAAATTAGCATTAAGGAGCAGAAAGCTGTGTGGGTGTACCAACTGCAGTGGGGGCAAGTGCACTGATGTGTTCACCAGCATAGGATATTTACAAATACTAGTGGGAGTGTGCTCACTTGTGTGCGCACATCGGGGCGGAACTCCACTGTGCGCGATACAGAGAGCGCGACCATGTAACGTAGAGACAAATGACATGCCGTCGTATAAATAAGATAAATAACATAAGGCTATTTCGTTTGTTTAATAAAAGAACAAGGTACATATCTGTTCTATAGGAAAGGTAACTTTAAATAACTTCTGTTGTGATCTGGCGCTATAGAGAAAATAAAATTAACTTGACCTTCAAGGGGCTGCCCCCCTAATATAATGGCAGGGGAAACACTGCTCAGTACATTATATTACCTACTAATATATTTTATAAAATAATAAAAAAGATCTAATAATATATTAATAAATTATATAAATATTTATATATACACACAGATATTAGTATTTAATGAATTACATAAATATTTATAAAATGTATTAACATATTATTTAGATTTTTTTAAAGAACATGAGTAAAATTGATTCTATAGTGCTCTGGGTGGAACAATTTGAATACAGATGGTTGTAACACTGACAAGCAACAACCCAAAGTGTTTTAAATTGTGTTTGTATAGGGAAATTATTGTGCCTCTTTAACTCACACTGTGTGCGTGTTTCTGACAGAAATGCATTTGTCCATTTGCATGTTGTCCTTGGCGAATGCAAACTGTCAACCCCTTGTTGGGAAGGATGTACAGTGGGGCACATCAAAGGTCACCAGACAACATTTCAAAATCTTTGGAAACTACAAAAAACACATTCCCCCAAGCACACCAGCAGTGAGAACAGACGGAACGCTTCTCTTGAGTGAGTGTGTGTGTGTGTGTGTGTGTGTGTGTGCCTTAAAGAAATCATGCGAAGATACAACTAACAAATGTCACACAGCGGGTAGGTCACACTGTGTAGGATGAATGAAGAGCTGGTTGTTGCAGAAAGTGAAGAGAGGAGAAAGAGTGAAGCCAATCATTTCCCTGTGGAATTATCACAGCATGTTCACTCATCCAGTCCTGGCACAGTCAGAGAGCTGAACTGTTCATGATTACACCTTTTCTCATAGGTTAGAGGAAGATGTAATATTTAATAGGATGTCTTGGGTATACGTACGTCTCATCTACATAAGAGATTCCAAAATATTCCTTCTCCTTCAGGTTGAAATGGGATGCCACCAGGTCTAGAAGATCCTTCGCCATTAGCTTGGGCTAAGAGAGACAGAAAAAAAACAGGTTTCATCACAAAAGAGATCTTTTAGTTTAGAACGTACACACTACACACAGACAAAAACACCCAGATACACACACACACACACACACACACAAGGTCAGCGAGTTGGCAGGCTGTGAGCGTTGTATTCTGATGAGTATTGATGCACTGCAGTGACTCTGCAATTTCATGCCGACTCTGTCTGTCTGCAGTCTGTGTGTGTTGCATCTTGAACAGAGCTTGACTTGCTGCACAAACGGTATCTGAAATATGCTCATAAAACTGAGATATTTCCTTTTAAGAAGGATTGATCATTATTTTTAATAATACAAAGACATACAGAGTTTTTGACTAAACAGCACTGACACATACACAGAACAATCTGGAAAACTAAGGAGACACACCAGTTGTCACACTGTCTCTGCTTCTGCAAGCTTGGGACTTTCCCTGTGTGTGTGAATTAGTGATGCGTGGATGGCGGTTATATCCGCGGGCGCTGTGGATACATAACTAGTGTGAATGTAAATGTAAAGTGAATGTAAAGTGTGTTAGAGCCAGTGTGTGGTAAACCATGGGTGTTGTCACTGGCTTTGAGCATAGACACTGAAATCACTGTTGTCCTGGGACATCTTTGTACAGCTTACCAACCTACCAATATATCCACACACAACCATTAATGATCATTCTAATAATAAGAAGAAACATTTCTTATTATTATCAATGCTGAAAACAGTTCTAAACTTGGACAGTAGTGTATGTTTGGGGTGTGTATGCATATATATATTTTTTTATAAATGCAGTTTTTGTATAGTTTTTCATAAGGTTTATCTGTATTTATGTGTTGACACTTATTATTTACAAAATTATATGATAATGAAGTACTGAACGAAAGCACTGAAAAGTCTGAGAAAGATCAAAATAGTTAAATCAATTTAAACAAGATGTGGACTCGATATACACATGCATTGTGTGCATGAGCCTGTGTTCAAAACACTTTAATTACTGTTTCGGTTTCAACACAGACCATTTTGAATTAAGAACACACATAAATACAGACACACACGCACACACATACAGCAACAGCACTCTTTATAAGAGAGCCAACCCACCCACCAACCCTAAAAATAGCACAGCAAAATCTGGAGCAAAAGTACAATCACTGCCACAACCACTGCTCATGAAAGGAAAGAAGGAAAGAAAGAGAAGAAGAAAAGAACAAGGGGTAGATTACAGCCTGTAGAATTACAAAATCATCATTTACCGGTATGTTGTGTATTATCAAATTTTAAATTATAATGTACGTCTTCTATATAAAGCTTTGACTTAAGGTAGTTCTTAATAGTTCCAAAACCTAGTGAGCTGCCTGCCTAGATAGCACTTCACCTAGAGTTACTGGAGCATAAGAGTACAACAGTAAGCACAAAATTGTGCTGCCTAAAAAGATAATTTATTCAAATGCAGAAATATCAATAAAATAGTTCAATGTAAGTAACAAAGGACTATTTTCACCAATATTAATGTGTGGCATGTATTTTTATTAATCATTAGTGCAGCAATTCCCAAACTTTTTTGTCAGCTGAGCCCCATTTGATTTTAATTATTTAACAACACATTTGCATTTTCATTGTTCTTTGATGTTGGTAAATAATCCCATGACATACAGGTAAACAAATAAAATGTTTTTTTTGTTTTTTTTTAGTTTCGTGTTTCATTTTAACTTTTTTTTTTTTATTTAAATTTATTCATTTTAATTGTACATTTTTTGTTATTTAGCTAATTATTAGCTTTTCATTAGCTCACAAACCCTCTGCAGTTTCTGTGTGATTTTCCCAGGGGTTCATGAACCCCAGTTTGGAAAAACCTGCATTAGAGTTCTTAGCTAAATAACATTTGTTAAGGCTAAACTCTAATGGAATCAGCATTCTCCCATCTTGACCATCTCAAATCATCTATTGCATTGAGGAAGTCGCCTTAGACGGTAGTTGCCTATATAGAGAGCAGAAAATGACGCAACCAACTAGGTTTTGGAACAGAGCTGTTGTGTCAGACGCAAAGCATCATCATACAGCTTTAAAAAAAACCTCAATGTCTACTGAGACTCTCTGATTCACCACCCTCCCTTCAGGTCTGATCTCAAAAACCCAGCTTTCAGCAAGACACCTTGTTTTAGATATTCTTTTATATTTTTGGCACTAACATTGTGGTTAATCACAAATGAAACAGTCAGTATTTTGTGAGATTGTTCACCTCTTACTTCAGGTGAGATCTGCAACTCTGTACCACATCAATCAATTGGCACATTTAATCCCATCATTCCAAGCAACGTGGTGTGAAACAGCTTGCTTCCTCAATTAGCCAAAGCGAGTGTGTAAGTGTGTGTCTGCGGTAAGAAGAGGAAGCAGGTTTAATATGACCGCAATCTTCAATCTGGACCCATTTGTGGTGGTGTATGTGTGTGCTTGTGCAGTTGAGAAAATGAAGAGGGCTAAAACTCAAACCGTGTTCATCTCTCTGTTTAGCCTCCAGACTTGATTATGACAGTTACTGATATAATAATGTGGTAAGAGTCTCTGAAATGTGTAAATAAGAAAGATCAAGCATTATTAATATCCTGTTAGTGTGCATTGAGGGCCATCAATATGAGCGCTATATGGCTTTAACAGATTTAATGTGGGATGGCTATCATCTCCTCTATGCCACTTACACTTACATTTCCACATGGAATAGCATGTGATAGCGCGTGTGGCCATGAGGAAGAATATCCGGACTGTTGTGATTTACGATCATTAAACAGTGGGTGTCTGATCAGGACAGAAGAGCGATGACAAGAACACACGCCGTCAGGTCTCGTCAGGTCTAGATCACAGATGAGAGATGCGAGTCGGCTTTCATCACACGGAATGACTTCAGCACAAAGCAACGCTAGGGTTTTTGTTCAGGATTTATGCTGTTAAAACACATGTTGATCTGATCATGAATGCAGACTAGATAGTGTCTTTCTCTAAAGCTGCATGTACACTGTAAAATAACAGAATTCAAATCTGAAGATGTAATTATATAACAAAGGTGCATTTACACAGATGTTTTTTTACATTTACATTTTTAATCTGACACCGAGCCAGTGTAAATACATTTATGAAGGAAGTGCAATCATGGGAAACAATGGGTCTGTTCCAAAACAAAGTGAGCTGCCTTGTTGCCTATTGTCTACACAGCCAGTTACCTTCAGATATGGAACTTTACAAGTGGCTGATTTGAAATGCCCTACATATGCAGCACATAACATAAAATACACAGCACACACAAATAGTGCGTAAAATCGGGTAAACGTACCTATTAAGCTCACGTACCCATTAAGCACACTTCCATTTTTGAACTCAGATTATAAAAAGAAAACATTATTTATTATCCTACTTGATGTCTTAACCAATTGATGTGTTTGTTACTACATACCTCCTGTAATTTCAAGTCATTCAGATAATTACACACTGAGATATGGGTCTCCCTCCATGTGTTGACACTGTCTGGCGGCCATTTTGAAAGCTGTCTGAAAACTTTCACCAAAAGAGGAGCCCTTTAAATGTGCATTTTTTAGATGTTTAAGCCTTTATTTTGGGTAAGATTCACTACTTACTGTAAAATTAAGAGATTAATGTTCAGACTTTTGCATATTATATAACCTGGAACTTGGATGTGGGAAATAATTACAGTTAGATCCAAAAGATAATTTTAGCAACATAGCGCAGATGCTACACAACACAGTTAGCTAACTAGCTGTATAAGATTGTGTGCTACGCTAATATATTACTTCACAGGCATTACTGGCTTGTACTTTTAAATCCATAATATTATAAATTTACAGTTTATTGCTGGTCAGGGGTTTTACACTGCTGTAATTTTTAAAGATTTCATATTATTGTAAGGTGAGCTTAAAGGGTGCACTACTATGAAAATCACACAGCTTCAGTGTGACATCAATAAGAAAAGTATAATTTCATAGATATTGTTAATAATAGTTGTTCATATTAAAATATGTGTGAATTTAATACATGACCTAGATTATTTATTTAGCAAAATCTTGTCATTTTAATAAATATTACATTAAATTTATTAAAAATTGTTGCTGCTCCAATTAAGCTCAGTGTGCTCTCTTTAAGCTCTTCCACATTGAAAGTCTATGTAAATACTTCATAAACAGACTTTAAATATTAACTGATGGTCGTCACTTCAAGTTGATCTTAATAAAACGATTAATAACTTATTTTAACAGCTAAAATGATGACAAAATTGAGACATAACTATAGTTTATGCCTAAAGATGAAAGAGGCATGTCTTCCATTCAAATAAGGAGCCAACAGAAACCTGTCGTATCTGTCCAGGAAAAAAGCAACTAAAGGCTGGAATATGCTACACAACTTTTAAAATGTGAACAGATTTTTAAAACACTAGGCTTCATACACTTACCTACTTTGTAAATAGTTTGTTTTTTGAATGTGTGTTACTTCGCCGAATGTGGACTAGCTGGAATATGCTACACAACTTTTAAAATGTGAACAGATTTTTAAAACACTAGGCTTCATACACTTACCTACTTTGTAAATAGTTTGTTTTTTAAATATGTGTTACTTCGCTGAATGTGGACTAGTCTAGATGTTGCAATGTGCTTAAATGACACTTCACTATGAATGTATAACTGATCAAATTGAGTGCCTTGTTGCTTGATTTTAGTGTTGTTGTTTTTTTTGTGATTGACTTTGTACCTTCAAATACATTTTTTTTTTCAATTATTCTTTAAAAATGTTGTTCAAAATAAACAAGACTTTTTAATAAAACATGATGTGAGCTTAATGGGAACAGGGGTGTGCTTAAAGGGTACAAAAATGTACCCATTAAGCACAGCCAGACTTTTTGCATTTAATGATGTATATCTTAATTCAAATGCTTTTGTCATTTAAAATAAAATAAAATATTTTTGTGTGAGAGATTAATATTTTATTTGAATATAACTTCTTGTACTGAAACCAATATCTTGTGCACTAAAAATGACTCAGTGTAGATTTTGGTGAGCTTAATAGGTACGTTTACCCTAGTACATTTTCAAATAGCCTGAACAATTTTCATAGACTTTTTTGGTGTTATATAACTCTCAAATTTTAGCTAACATTTCTTTCATTTCGTCTGCCATCTTGGATTTCCTTTTTCACTAAGCTTGTCGCAATACATTCTGTAATTGCTTTGATGGAAATTTGGCCAAAAAAGGTATCTAAGTGATATCTAACTCAGACCTTATAGTAGTTTAAGTGTATCATCTAGCACCTCAAACTCAAAGGTCTGTCTTCTTCAAGAGAGACCAAATATGCTCTTGTCAAACTCTTGACAGACAGTGTAAATTATAGCTGAGAGGAAGGACCGAGCTAGGACACGAGAGAACCACCAACTAACAGCACCTGCTTTGACTCACCATGGAAAATGACGAAAACACGCTAAACGCACATCACTCACAAAATTACAGCCTGCTGTGGAGAGACAGGTGGGAGACGCTAACAAGCAGTTAGACAGCTGAAAAACAGAGCAAGATTATACAACTTGGGAAAAAGTCTGAACAAGACTGTTGACAGCTCTTGTATTGTAAGACTGTCTACCTTATTATAAACCAAAGTCATGTCAAAACTGCCGACAGAAAATAAAAACGGAAACACAAAAATGTACCTCCACTAAAGCCAACACAAACTAGATGTTTTCTACTGCACTGTATGCAAATAAGCCCACGAATGATGAGACAGCAGCAATGTTCAGTCTCTAATGGGACTATAAAATCATTTACAAAGATACTGCCAGTCGCACAGTGTAAGATCATCCATGATAACCTTCAAAATGGTACACTGTAGGGCTGTGCGATTAATCGAAATCGAATCGAAATCACGATTTGAGACGCTGCCATTTCGTAATCGCAAAGCCTGCGATGTGGACACGATATTACTCTGTTAAGCATATGCATGACTGCCAGCCTTGAGTTGCAATCTTACTTGCCCTGGGCAAGAGTGAGCACATCTCCGTTCTCCCCAATCAGCACTGCTCTAGCCAACTGCGTAAACACCCACCACAAAAAAAAAAAAAAAAAACCCTGATAAAAAAATAAAAACACAATCGCAATATCTGTCAAAAAAATCGCAATTTGATGTTTTCCCCCAAATCGCACAGCCCTAGTACACTGCCTCTAATGAGGCGAGAAAGAAGTGAGGAGGAAGAGGAAGCAGATAAATGAGGCTACAGGAAGATCCAACAGAGACCCATCAGTAAAACCAAACCAGACAATGATTTCACAGCTGCATATGTAAGATGGTTCACATCTTAAAGGGTGTTCACATTGGAATTGAATTTATTTGTTAGTGACTTTAAATTGTAATATACTATCAACTCCAGTTTCCCCAAAACATCTAATCTTAAAATTTGTATTTAGATTTCCTAAAAAAGAAATGAAGGCTATGCAAAACTGCCACAATAAGAGTTTCCTCCATTTAAATTTTAATCAAGAAGTTAGCTATCCCTTTTGGTCCAATGTCTTTTCACCAAGCAAATTATGCATGTCTCCGAATGTAAAACTCAACACATAAGTTTGCGTATATGATCTTTCACATGCACATGAATGGAACAGTTACTTTAACGCACAGAAGATTCTGTAGCATTGCCCTGTTAGGTACATCAACAAAATTGCTCTTACAGAAAAAGGGAAGAGCTGTTCCTCAAGGAACATGCAGAAAAAAAAATAACTTGGAATAACAGTAGAATTCTCAATGGCACGCTTAACCTACACAACCTTCTCCAGAACATCTGCCGACAAGGAGGAAGAGAAAGAGGAGGAAAAAGAGAAGTCAGAAAGCAGAAAGAACAAGCTAAATCTTTTAGCCAACGCTAAAAGAACATATATCTAAGTACTCATGACTAAAGTAGGACAAATGTGTAAAGATTATGGAATAAGCATTTCTGCAACAGCTCAATAAATCATAAACTGTAGAGACAGTGAGGAAACACATTGACTACCCCTCTGCCTTATCCCTTCTTTTTTCTATCTCTTCCTGGAAATCCCTTCTTTTCCTCTCACTCATCCTCTTACCTGATTGTTAAGGACTCTCTCACCTCCTTTCATTTCTAGATTTTAGTTTATCAGATCGAAACTGCAACCACAATCAACTCAACCAGCATTTTAGAGGAGAGAAAGAGAGTGTGTGGAAAATGAGAGATGGAGGAGGCTGAGAAATTACATTTCTCCAACTATGATGGAGTTTAAACTGGATTGGAGTCTAGAGGAATCAGGTCACCTAACCGCACCTGACAGGCATGAGAGAGTGAGAGAGCATGAAAGTAGATACATAGAACCAAACTGAGCAGGACAGAACAGAATAATAAACAATAATAAAGAAAAATAAAGATAGCAATAAAACAGAAAAGAAAATATAATGGAAAGTAATCAGAAGAAAACAAAGCAAAATATAACAGGACATAAAAGAACAAAATCAGTGCTATAAAAAATTAAAAGAAATGAAATAAGATGAAATAAAATATAAATATTAAAAACTTAAAATGTAAAAAAACTTAAAGATTAGATATACTGTCTAGGCAAAAATAAGTTGAAGTACTAAAATTACTAAAACTAAAACAAACAAAGTTATTAAATTAAAGTTATATAGAAATATTTTTTTTTTAAATGACAAGCAGATAAAATTACTAAAACTTAAATTAAAATTAAAATACAACAATAAACGCTAATTCAAGATATGAATAAATACTATAATAGTAAATAAATAATAAAACAAATAAACAGAGAAAATAAGAATGGAAAAATAGTATAGAATAAATGAGAAAAAAACAATACAACAATAGAACAAAACAGAAGAGAATATAGCAGTACTATAAAACTTTATTCTTCATGTGTTCAGTGACTGAGATGCCACAGGCAGCGTTTACCACATGATTAGAGATTTCCTGAGAAAGTTCATATGAGTGTGAGTGTTGAAGAAACAAAGCTCTGCTGAGGAGACATTTCTGTTTATATTGAGGTCTGAGGGCTGATGGGGCATGGGAGACAGACAGTGTTGTTATGGAAACTGAACTCATCCTGCGAGATGATGTTTGTTTTCTGATAGGAGGGTTTATGGAGTGTTTTGAGCAGGAGGGGGCTGCTGTATGTGTGATTGGATGGGTGACTTGAGAGGCTGCTGGTTTGGGTAGTTATGGGAACCTAAACCTGCCAGATTGTGCTATTAGTGGTACTGATGTTTAAAAGACACTTGAGAGTAGGGGTGTGCGATATTGACAAAAAATTATATCTCGATATTTTATGGGATTTTATCGATAACGATAATTC